CATCTAGTTGTAATACATTAGTTACCATAGGTTATTCTAAATTCTGGCATGAATTTAAATTCTGATCCATAGTAATTATGATATTTCAGTTAATTCTGCCATGAATTGATGTATGGTAATTCTCAATTCATCAAGAGCAAAACTTAATTTCCTTTAAGTAGCATTTCTTTCTACTCCTCAGGAAAAATTCTGATTCTACTGAAGTTAAAATACTGATGAAAATTAAATTATCCTGTGAATAAAATCAATATTACATTTCTCTAAGGAGGAATGAGCTGCATATTTAACATTAATCACCAGATAAAGACATAAGAGATAAATAAAGTGTAAGTCAAAAATGAGATCTTTTCCCAGCAATAGGGATTTGATTAAATAGGTCAAGAAGTCATGAAAAATAATTATTGCTTCTCTGTTTGTGATACCACTTTTAAATGCAAATTTGTTGCCTGGTTTCCCTTCCGTTACAAAAAAAAAAAAAAAAAATTAAACAGAAGTAATATTTTAATTCCCTTTTTTTTTTTTTTTTTTGCATTGTGCAGAGGAAAAGCAGGGAACAAGGAGTCTGTTAATAATTTTGAAATAAAATCAATGATCTATGGGTAGCCTTGTACTTCTGTTACAAAAGATAATTCTCATAAACTATCACTGGAATAAAGCAGAAACTGTTTGGGTTAGAAGTCAAAGGAAAAAGTATAACCCTGATATAAATGCTGTCATAAAAATGTGGTACATTTTTGTTACTGTCTGCCTTCATTAAACTCTTTGCTGCAGATATAATTTCCAGAGAATTATAAAATTTCATATTCTTCCCTTTACAAAACAATCTATTAATACATCAAGTTATAAAGTTACTGTAATAAGCTATTTTAATTATTCTCTCTTTCTCTTAGATACAGTCTGGCTTGTGTGTGAATGATGAATTACATGGGCTTCAGACTTGCTCATTAGTATTTAATTTAAGGGAAAGGGCTCAAATTAGTTTCTTTTAAGTGAGGGCATATTTGTGGAACGAAGTTCCAAAGTCTTATGTCCTTCACACTAGGAGATGAAGGAAGGCTCTACCTCAGTGCCTACCTGCATGTATCTATTTATATGTCTAAAATTATACACATTCAGACACCCCAGGCTTTCTGCTTAAATGGAACCAGGGCTCATATCCTGTTGCTTTTCAGTATTCAGTAAAGCAACTTGAAATGCTTTGTGTGAAAATTTTCTGCATAAAAAAAAAAAAAAAATCTGTGAACCACAATGTAAATGATAAAATTTTTCAATAAGAAGTTTGAAATGAAATCCATTGTTTCAAAATGCTAATTCAAAGTAGACACGCTATCTTTAAAAAACAGTTTTGTTCCCAGTGAAATTTTATTCTTATATTAGCAAGGATTTTTTTTTCTCTGTCTTAAATATTTAAAAGCTTCTCTTTTGCTTTCTAAGAAAACTAATTTCAAGATGTCAGCAGTTCCTACAGTGGAAGGATTTCTGTTTCTAGAGAAGATTGAAATATTTCAATGTTTTCTGCACTGAAACCAGAAGAATTCTGGCCCATATTTTACAGGCATCCAAAAAGCCCAGTCACTGTAAGAACAGAACCAAATACACAACCAATGTGATGTACATGTACAGGATAGCATAAGACTCATTACATTTCCAGGGAAGACCTTCCTAAACCTTGAGAAGTACTGTTTGAGTCTCATCTGCAGAAATGTTAGTCCTTTTTTTTTAGCCAGAAATAGGCCTTAAATTTCAGTCTGATTATCCACATTCTAATTCCATTAAAGGGCACTTTTTTCTCTATTTTGGAGTCTTTACGAACAACTGCTAATTGCCCCCACTCTCCAAGAACCCAAATAACTTGATTTTACCCTTCCCTGGGAAAAGCTTCAGGACAGATAATAGTGCAAAGAACAGGCAATTATTGAACTTGATTGTGCTTTGAGTTTAGTTCTCCTTAAATTGTACAAGTTTCACACTCAGTTGAAAATTGGTTCTCTGAAACGATCTTGCTGCGATAAAAAAGACTAGACAGATATTTAGCTGGTGGAATATTAGAAGAATTATGTCAGTTCACCACTGTGAAGTCCCATCACTGTCATGCAAGTCCTTGACAGATTGCCCTCAGCAGTGTTCAACAAGGAAGCAGTCAGAAATCCATGATTGCACAAAAAAAGTTGAGGCAATTTATGTAACAATAGTGAGAAATGCCAAATAATACATGTAAGGGCTATCAGTCATCAATTACTAGAGGCAACAAAAGAGATTGAGTGTCGTTGTTTTCATATACAGAAATCACACCAAAATAGAGGCAGCCGTTTCTATATACTCAGAATATAAAACTTTAAGCTCACTGGCTTTTCATTTGTAGCAACCTTCTTTTAAGTCTAAATGAGGACATGTAATTGTTTGCTTGGATAAAGTCAACATTTACCATTAAGATTACAAGGAGCTACTGCTGTATTTTGGATTAGGCTGTCATGCAAGCGATGTCAAAGCAGGTCTTTTAAAACTAGGATTATCACCTGGATTTATCTGGATTTATCACCCTTGCACAATTAAGATTTAAAAGCCAAATCACAAAAGCCAAGCCAAAGGACTCAAAGACAGCCCCAAAGGCTTCTGAGAACTAATCCTTTGAGTTGCTTTTGCTCAAACGCCTTGTATCACTTTAGGCCTTTCCACATCTGAATGAAGTTAGGAAATTTAAGTCAACTGCATACACAGTGAGGATCTGCACTACACAGAGCACAGCCTGCCTGAATACTGCTCCTTTTGTCCCATTCCTTTGTCTGAGGAGTCAGCTCCCTCAGCTGGCATCAGGAGTTCCAGAGAGCACAACCCATTTCATGCAACTGCACAGTGAAGAGAGGCCAGAAGGCCAGGGGGTTAACATCTGCTATAAATACCACAGGACTTCTTGGTCTGAATTGCAGAATGAGATTGCTTGATGTTTCTACACTGCACTGGGCTGTCTCACCCTGTGCCTTACTGCATAGACACATCTCAGAGCAAAGGGTCAGACACATCAAAGGAATAATGCACTTGGATTTTCTCGCTACAGGAATACGCTGTGGAAGACTGCACATAGCAGAAACAAGTATTCCAAACCACCAGAATCTTACAGCACATAGAGTTCCAATTCTTATTCAGCTCTTCAGTCAGGTCTGAATTGTACACTCAGATTTTATTAAGGTATATATATAGATATCATCTAAAGCAACAGACTGCGAAAAAATGCACCAAAAGATCAATTTTTGATTTGGGTATTGAGGTCATAGCCTGCTCCTATTCCATTAAAGAATGTGTTTTTTTACTGAGTTCAGTGGAGCAAGGAGAAGACTAACAGTTACTGCTAAATGGATGTTCAACTGGCAGCCTTTGCGGCGCTTTGAACAGTTATTGGAGAGTGGCAGATCGCTGAAAGGCTCTGACCTCCTCTGCAAGCAGCTGTCAGCACAGCAAAACTTGAAAGCTTTTTCATATGCCTTTCTCACATATTTGGTAAATGCAATATAGGAAACCAACCCTAATGTTCCCTATGCACGGA